AGAGTAGCTACCATGGTACCTGGGTCATAGATTTTCTCACATTCCATACACACTCTCATCTCTTAAATGAGCCTATCAACAGAGTAGCTACCATGGTACATGGGTCATAGATTTTCTCACATTCCATATACACTCTCATCTCTTAAATGAGCCTATCAACAGAGTAGCTACCATGGTACCTGGGTCATAGATTTTCTCACATTCCATATACACTCTCATCTCTTAAATGAGCCTATCAACAGAGTAGCTACCATGATACCTGGGTCATAGATTTTCTCACATTCCATACACACTCTCATCTCTTAAATGAGCCTATCAACAGAGTAGCTACCATGGTACATGGGTCATAGATTTTCTCACATTCTATACACACTCTCATCTCTTAAATGAGCCTATCAACAGAGTAGCTACCATGGTACATGGGTCATAGATTTTCTCACATTCTATACACACTCTCATCTCTTAAATGAGCCTATCAACAGAGTAGCTACCATGGTACATGGGTCATAGATTTTCTCACATTCCATATACACTCTCATGTCTTAAATGAGCCTATCAACAGAGCAGTTACCATGCTTCCTGAGGTACAAAATCAATCAACAAATCAACCAACTCAAAGTACTGAAAGTTATAGCCATAGAAGTAACCATAGTGATCATAATTATGACTCTCCACAGCTTTCTCTACCATAATCCTTTTTTTAACAATCATGCTCACTTTAGGATATTTAAAACCTTAAGTAAGAAATGTTTATATTTCACCAAAGCATAAAGATTTCATAAAAATGTATTTCTCAGGCCACCATCTGACAACAATTTTATACATAAGGATCACATTATTCAGTGGATTATTAGTAAGTTAATGCTTATATTAAGTCTGTTAGCAAAGAGAATTTGCAATTAATTACATTAATATTACTAATTAATTCATTGTATGATTACCTCTTTATAAACAAAAGAAATATATCTGAGTAAAAACTGGAGAAATTAAATCTAGATTAAAAGTATTTACCTCTCCACTCCCAGAATTGTGAAAAAGTAGGACAGTAGGGTTTATCCTTTCATTAGAGGCAGAAATGGAAAAGTAGACATACTTATTAAAAAAAGAAAGAAGAAAGAGTTGGATACATAGGATTGTCAAATCAAACTATCTTTCTAAACATTCTAGGTCAGATATTTTTCTAAATTTCTACATACTTCATGTACGTTAACACATTATTTTTCATTTCACATGATATGGAAGCCGATAATTGCTTTTTTACATTGTTCACATTCTAAGCACCAGCAGCTCTTCAAAAGGACCATAGATATTTACCTTAAAGTAAAGATATCATTGTTCAAAGCAAATCATTGTTATTATTTAACCAGACAATAACTTTTTGTTGATTTTATTGCATTTTGTATTTTTTTAACAGTCGCTAGATAAAGATCCAAACGTACATTGGAATAGTAAAAGATGCATTTCCAAAGCTAAGCAAAGTACTAGGAAATAAGAAAATTTCATAAGAAACAAAAAAAGAGTTTTGAATTGCTATGTAATATCAATCCTCCCATATGGCAGTAAATACTGGACAATTTCCTTACAGATGAAGAGACTTCCAGTAATAGAAATATGGTTCTACAGAAGGATACTGATAATACCATGGACAGAATATGTAAGCAATGAAGAGGTTTCAGGAAAATAGAAATGAAAAGGTGTAGGCTCATTGTTATTATTATAAATAAAAATAAAATATAGAATAATAATAATGAAAATTATAAATAAAATAAAATAAAATTTAAATCTCGTTTAAAATAAATTAAATAAATAAAAAATTAAAATAATAAAATTAGTCCCAGCATGCAACAGGGACTGTTCCTGCCAGAAGTACAAACATCCTGCCAAAAGACGTAGGATTCACTCCCTTCACCCAAGAACTGTTGGGTTGTCAACATGTGTGTAACTTCCCTCCATGATAGAATTTGTGATATTATGGAATGACTTACTCCCTTTTATAACATGAACATTATCACAATTGTACTGTAAAACACACACCAATACACAATACATAAATAAAATTGTATGAAATTACCATACAATTTTTTCATGTTTTTTTATTGTTATTTTTTATGTTTGTTTGTACTGTTTTTCCTCATGAACACAAGCCTAAATTTATCACTCCTATGGCATGAGTGAATACCCCCACAAATCAAGGTAATCACCAATGTGTACAAGAGAAACATACAAATATACCACAAATTATGGTGACCACTGACGTGTACAAGAAAAACATACAACTACACACCACAAAGACACATGCTCAGAATTAGAAAAAGATAGCTGAAATTTCTTGGACATTTAATGAGATACAAAGACTGATTGATTTGCATTTTATGGCTTATCAACCCATTGTAGTTTATTTAAAGCCGGAAAATATTTTTTGATTTTAAAAATGTTTTTGGCAAGGGTAATGATTTAGTGATACAAGTCTTACTAAATAAACTATAGCTGGGAGAAGAAGAGGTGGGTTCATGACTTTCTGCTATAACACATGCCTAGCAGTTATAATGTTGTCTTGCTTAGGCTACTTGCTGTGATATCATTAGAATTCTCTCCGATTGACTTCAACGGACTGGTATTTACCCAGTTTCCTCACTGAGATGAGATGTAACACAAGGCCAAGTTTAGTGTGGGGAACCTGAGTGTGTACACTTGGGCCAATGGTCAAAATTTATCCAGCAACCACAACCATGGGATTCAGTACTTTGCATTTTTTATTCTTCTCAGCTGAGTCTCTGTCCATAGACAGAGCCCCGATTGAATTGCATTCTGCCTGAAGACAGAGAGCTTGACAATTGTGAACCAGACAGCGAAATGCCTGACTCCGACTGACTGGTATTTACCTGTCGCCCCACTGTGGACTAGATGTGACACAAAGTCAAAGTTACTGTAGGGAACCCAAGTCTTTCCACCTGGGCCAATGTTCAAATATTTACCCAACCCCAACAAAAGCAGACTTGTGTACAGCACTGGTTTGTTTTTCCCAGCTGAGTCTCCATCTGAAGACAGCGTCCAACTGAGTCACCATCTGCCTGATGACAGAGGTCTTGTCAGTTGCAAACCAAACAGCGAACTGCCTGACTCTAACTTGTCTGTTTATCTCAGCTGAGTTTTTATGCGAAGACAGAACCCTGACTGAGTCACACTCCACCTGCAGAAGGATGTCTTGTCACTCTCTGTCTGAAGACAAAGGTCTTGTTTTGTCGCAAGCCTGGGACTGACTGCAATGGACTGGTCACCCCACAGTAGACTAGATGTGACACAAGGTCAAGTTTACTTTGGGAACCTGAGCATTTCCACCGGGGCCAATGCTCAAAATTTATCCAGCAACAGCAACTGCTGCAGGATTGAGCACTTTGTATTGTTTATTCTTCTCAGCCAAGTTTCTGTCTGTATACAGAGCCCTGATTGAATTGCACTTAGCCTGAAGACAGAGTAGACTGTCTGGCACCAACTGGCTGGTATTTACTGATTGCCACACTGCAGACTGGATGCGACACAAGGTCAACTTATTGTGGGGAACCCAAGCATTTTCACCTGGTCCACTAGTCAAAATATACTCACCCCCTGCAAAAGTGGGCTCAGATACAGTACTTGTCTGTTTTTCTCAGCCGAGTCTCTATCTAAAGACAGAACCATGACTGAGTCACCATCTACCCAAAGATGGAGGTCTTGTCCCATTCTGTCCAAAGACAGAGGTCTTGTTTTGTCATGAGGCTGGGACTGACTGCAATGAACTTCTTCTGACTCACTTTGAGTTCTTTATTTAAAGCATCTTCCCTAGTTCATTTGTGTCACCAGGGGTGTCTTATTTAGTCCAAAACACTTTCTCAAGGGTATTTGTGCATAAGTGAATATAACGAGTGCAAATGGAACTCAGCTCTCTAATTAACAATTCCAAAGTATTATCCATTACATCATCCACATATCCAAGTTTACAGAACCTGGTATTCCCAAGTGATCACTCATCTAGATACTGACCAGGCTTGTTGCTTAACTTCAGTGATCATACAGGAACAATCTGATATGGCCCATAAGCTGTGAGATAGAAAGGCTTGGATATTTTGACACTCACTGGCCATATCAAAGACAAAAGTGACAAGTGGGGAGGCAGAATGCCACCTACCTGACCAGCTTGTGTGAAATGGATGGTTGAACAGAAGTGGGGGGAATGGTAAAAAGACAAATGTTACTATGAGCTACATGAAGTAGGGACAGCACATGCAAGATTTTCACCAATAGTTAGATCAGAGTTAAATGTGAAAGAAGACATTCGAAGATACAACATGAAACCTTTCCCAAGAATAGTCATGGCAATTTACAGGTATTAAAAAAGAGGGACATCCATTGTTCCATTAGATTCACATATAGATGCTAAGCATAGTATACAAATCGTTCAGAAATATCAGCTAGTTAAAAATGTTTTCACAGATCAATGATTAAAAATGACTTCAAGCAAATGAATCCTCTAGGTCTTTAAGAAGACAATTCTTTTTCATATCTTACAAACTGGCAATTCCATAATTACAAAGAGCTTTAACTAATAATAAAAACCACATTACTTGAAGACTACCAACTGCTGCAACAACTAAAATTGATAGCATACGTAGCTAGAAAGGAAAATAATGACATAATGAAGATGTTGACTTTACACAATAATTTAAACAAAATTTGGTTGGTTGTTTTTTTTTTTAGCAGTATATCAACCCCTATAGGTTATTTTTAATGCTGAAATCTAAATATTTTGTACACTATTTTATTTTATTTTTTTAGGATGATAATGGTTTTAGTGATAAAAGACTGACTAATTAACCCTTAAATGGAGGGAGAAGAGGTAGACTCATACCTTTCCCAAGAGTATTTGCATGTAAGTGAATATAACAAATTCAACAGAAGTTAGAATTCAGCTCTCCTAATAACAATTCCAAGCCATTATCTATTGCACCATCTGCACATCTAAGCTTACATCACCTACTATTCCCAGGTGGTCACCCATCGAGGTAATGACCAGGCTGATGGTTGCTTAACTTCGGTGATCATACTGGAACCAATGTTTGAATGTCATGTGGCCGTAAGCCTTAAAAATGTTAGGAAGGAAATTCTCATCAATAATAATAGAAAGAGCTAGAACAGTTAGTGGACTTTAGAAGACTATTTCCTTGAAGAACTCTTTTAAGAGAAAGATTTTGTGAATTTCAACTGACAGTAATCCTAAGAGTTCATTTATGGGATACTGAATGTTTCTGTATGGAAACAGCTAATCCCAGCATGAACGTTTATTAAAGTAGATACCAAGCAGGAATGTTTTTGGACAATATTTTATTCATTACTGACAAATTAATAGGACCATATTGAATCATAATTAAAGTAATGGGTAAATCTTGAAAGCAAGTCATCTTAGACCTATATCAATCAAATTGTAATTTTATCTTTATCAAACTCTAGTTTGGATCAATGATAATTTATTCAATAATTCTGTATGTACTGCAATGAAACGATAACATATATCTACTTTTTGATCTATTAAACACAGAAAGTGGAAGTAGCAAGCCAAGTTCAAGTTCTGTCTTAGTCTGTTGTGTTCACTTTGCACTAATGCCCTGGAGAAAGGCAAGAATCCATCTATTCTTTATTCTCCTATAGGTTAAACAGCAGGGTAGACTAAGCTCTTTAAGCATTTATGTTCTTGATTGTTTATGGGGTGGAGTTTTCAAAACCCATGTCCAACTAGATTTGAATTCACAGTTGTCTTTGATCTAGATTGGTTGCCAACCAAAGCTAGAAGACCCAGTCTGCCCTGCTATTAACCTCTAGGCTGGTGTAAGAAAAGATGAATTCTTACTTTTTCAAAAGTATTTATGCAAAAGGTAATAATGGCCTTAGCCAGAATTTGAACTCAATATGTCAAACCCATTTTCATGCTGATGACCAATATAATATGAAGACAATATATATTAGATTAAATAATCATTAATCAGTGCATATATGTTATACTTATGTTATACTCTTCTCCTTCCAACAATGTGCAAATAGCGGGACAGTTTGTGTCCTATAGCCTTGGGTGGCAACCAGTCTAGGAGAAGGAAAATTTTGAATTCAAAACCTGAAGAGGGTCATTTAGGGATTTTGTGGTATACTATATGCACCAGTTTCTGTATTCAGCTTTTCCACAGAATTGTGATTGGTCTTCACTACTATAATCCAATCATATGTACAGGCAGTCTGGTTGTTCAGTTCTAAGAATTAAGCTGCTGGACCATCATGTTGGATAAAATGATGGAAGAGTCCTCCATAAATATATATATATATATATATATATATATGCTTGATGAAAAACTTTTCAGTAATTTTTGTTAAAGCCTTTTATTTATATAAATTCATAGCATCATTATACAGTCAAAGTATTTCCCTTGGCTTTCTATGATCTGGCTGTCTGTCAAATTCTGTAGTCCGTCATATTAGGCCAGTGATCTCAATATAACATCCAATTGGAAGCATTATGAACTATCAAGGGGCAGTATATTTTCAAGGATGTTATCAGCGAGAGGAATGCTATCATTTTAGAAGGTCAGTAAAATGATTTAACAGACTGGACCCTGATTAGAAAAAGTCTCAAAATTTTCTTTATCTTTTTGCCTATACACTTACATTTTTAAATATATTTTAAATACTTGACTAAACTCCACACACCATACTACCCTACCCAAACCTATATATGTAGCAGTTTGTAAGGTCTGACTCAGCTTGCTACCAGTGATTGTCTATAATGCAGCAAAAAGGAGATGTGATATTAACTCTGTGGAATTACTTCTGCTCTATTGACAAGTGCAATTTTAACATAATGGATGTCAGTTCACATGAATATCAAAAGAGAATCACTAGAAAAGGTTAAGGACCATAGCTTCCTAGCAATTCTTGATAAATTCTGTTATTCATATAAATTTAGAGTGATGTTTTTTAGTTGCTAAAATGTTTACTCAGCTATTAATGATCTTATTCCACCTCGTCGCCACTTTTGTGATGTCAACAAATATTGTTGTCACTTTTGTAATGTTCGTTGAAGTAGAAACTTCAAAATCGCATATACAATTATTGTGACACTATTTAGCTATGCTAATTGGCTAACTAATTAAGCATGTAAATTAAAGTTGAGAAATACATAAGGCGAGAAGAAGCTATCATGAAAGACATACTGAGTGATGTTATTTTTTTTTAACAAAAGGAAAATGGGTAAAGATTTTATTTTCATTTGCGAAGAAAAGTATTTTTTTTCGCAGAAGATAGAAAATTCGTAAGACCTCGGATCTGTCAGAATTAATTTATGCCATGATGCGGTGAGGAAACGCAGATAGCAATCTGCCCATGGCAATGATGAAAATTTCAAATTGGTCAAGAGGCTTACAAAGCAGAATGCTAGAAAATAATCGAAAATTGGGTCAAGCATGCGACCAAGAAAGAATTAGCTGAGACCACCCCAAAGAAAAAGGAAGGAAGAAGAGAAAAAGGAAAAGAATAAGCCATTAACTATCTTTCGGAGATATCATTTGGTTTTGGAAGGAGAGCCACCTGTTGAATGTCCAGAGCTTGCCATGATAAAAGTTTGTTACCTGGACAGACTGTTGGCGACAGAATGCGATGATGTTGAGCAAGACAAAGAGATTCAGTTGACCACCCAGATAATAACTTGGCGAAAATCACATTAATGAATTCCAGATGACATCAAGTTAAGATAAATATTTAATGTCCACAGTACGATTTGTGGGGGTTCTAGTCAGTGGAAAAGAAAGAAAAGAAAAAGGAAGATAATTTTTTCTTTGAGCGATAATTGTAAACTGAGGCCAGTCTAGCCACATCCACACTGCCGAGCGTTCATTGGCTGAATGGTGGCGTGAGCGATGGGCGAAGGTAAACATATAAGAAAGAAGGGAAACCTGTTGACGCCTCTGAGGGGATTGGTGTGAGAATTTGGGAGGACAATTCCCTTAAGAACCACTCTAAAACAGAAAGTAATTGACTTCCAAAAATGGGAAGTGATAAATTTTCCTGTCCGAAAACAAACAAAATCCTTATTGAGGATTTGGAGTTTTCGAGGAATCCAAACCATGACAGGCTTCTACCTGGTTTTGGTCGGCGTCCATATAAACGAACGTCCCCAGAGCAAAGTCGCAGTTAGACAGAGAGAGTTGGACAGACACAGTTGGCGGCAGTTGGTGACAGTTGGAGTCACAGAGTTGAGCTGTGAGCTCGGAGACCAGCCTCGCAGGAGCTGACTGAAAGATTTCCACGCATTCCGACTTAGACTTCTAACCAAAAACAATTTTTTTTGAAGAACGGCTTAGACTCACACCACCAAAACAAGTTTTACGAATATCGCCTGAAGATACCAAAAACCAGTTTATTGAAAAACAACTTAAGATATTAAGACTCGCCTAAGAAACGCAAAGTGTCACGTATCCATAGAAACGGTTTGGGAGGAAGATGCAGTCCTGTATTCAGCAACCAGATATAAAGATACTTTTTATTCTTTTTTTTTAACACATTTGAATATTTCGAGTTGTTACTTTATTTTCTTTTACATATACTTGTGCAGTATCACCTTTGCCTCGAATTCGGCTTGCACTACGGCCGGACGCCTAATTGATTTCATCTACCTAAGATCAAATCACAATGTGGGTAGGTTAGACTAGAAATCAAAGCAGTTACTTCGGTAGCCAGATGTTGCAGGCAAGCTGGGAACGACAAAGCTGATGCCGAATATAACCAGATAGAGTAGAGAATAGCAGTCTGTATAGTATGTAACAAATGTATGAGTGAATGTTTGACGAGGCAAACGTCATGGCGGCGGATACAAAAATGGCAGTGCGCGTGCGCGACCAGACTGGGAGCCAGGCCCGTATTCATTTGCATAAGCGTATGCCACACCGGCATAAAAGCTGAGAGTTTGCGCTGGTTAAAGGGCGAAGATACTGCCTAACTCGGATGGGATTTGGGTTGAACGTAGCACCCCCCTCCATTATGCATTTGATCGTAGAGGCTGTTCTATCCAGAGGTTTGACTGTTGAACAGGCGACGTCGGCATACATAGACGATGTGTACATCAACAACAGCGTGGCGCCCGTGGAGCGGGTAAGACAGCATTTTTCCCGGTTTGGGCTAGAAAGCAAGGATCCGGAGCGACTTGAAGATGGTGCTCGGGTATTTGGATTGGAAGTCTGGACGGAGCGTGGCACTTTGCGGTGGAAGAGTGGGAGTGCGATTCCGGATATCCCAGAAGTTGTGACACGTCGTGCCGTTTTCTCTCTATGTGGGAAGCTGATTGGGCATCTGACAGTGTGTGGGTTAAATTTTATAACCATTAAAGTATGTCTAGTGTATGCCTCTTCTGAACAGTTTTGTCTACCTGATGTCACGCACAAAGCTTGGTTCAATCTGTGATGTGATTTTCAGGCACTTCCAATGGTGTCCCACACTGGCTCACCTCTCCCCCAAGTTGACATTATCAAATTGACAAATTGACCATAATGAGATTTAAACCCTGGTCTTATGGTCAAAATGAACATTTTAACCACTCAGCCAGGTGCATACTCCCATTAAAGTTATCAATATTAATTGGAAATAGTCTCTAACAAGATTTCAACAGGCATCCCATCCAATTCAGCCATGGAGGCTTTACAGCGTGTGAAAGCTAACTGTAATGTAAAATATCTATTTTATTCCTTTGATTATTCTTATTAAATTGTTTATTTTCAATCATGTAGTAGTTGTAGTAGTAGTAGTAGAAGAAAGAGTGGGACAAATTAAGAGAAGTGTCCCACTGGGCTTAGAGCCGAAAGATAAATTATATGAGACTGGCCGATGAAAAGTTAAAGCAACACAAAAACAACACAAGACATAATAAACTTAACTATTTTATTCAAACTGCCGCTCGATCCATTTTGCTCCCAGCATTCCTAACTAGGACCAGAAGTGCTTACAATCATAATAATTTACAATCATCATAAACTTCTCAGAGTTCCATTGCTTCTCAAAAGTGTTTCTGAACAAATTAATATAAAAAGTAGTTTAATTTGTCA